TGGCTGTGGGACATAAGTCACCCTTAAGCTTCTCCAGACTGAAGGTGTTGGAGCGAGCTGGCTGGACTTCGGGCAAGCGCTTCCCCTGTGTATAAAAAGTTGATGAGGTCAGGGTGGGGTGGTGGAAATATCTCCCTCATGTCAGGGTAGTGGACTAATGCTGAGTGCTTGGGGAAGTCCTGCAGACCCGACTGCGGAACAGGGAGCACAGGAGGGACTCCAGGATGGAAATAGTCATAGGCTGTATTGCTTGGTGTGGGAAGACAGCTCAGGCTCTGGAAGGGACTTGCTGACCTAATATTTCAAAAATGTCATTTGAGGAGCTGTTCAGGACTTGGCAGCCCAGCCCAAAACTTGCTGCTTCTCTCCTTAAAGGGAGTTTCTGGCATCGGTTGACAGCAATCAGAGCAGATTCTTCATCGTGGCTGTGCTGTTGTGGGGCAAGACCTGAAGGAAACGCAGCAGAAGCACCGGGTGATACAAGATAGGGCTGGATGTGCAGCCCAGCTCTGCCCCAAGGCAGGACTGAGTTTCTGATGGGGGATCTGACCTGAGCTGAAGGATGCTGGTGGTAGAGATGACATCCCTTCTGCAGGCAGCCTGTCCTGGTACATGGCTAGCTGCACTATTTAGAAAACTTGGCCTGATTCCTGACCTTGCTAGTGTATATTAAAGCAGCAGACTAAAGCCTTCTGTGATCTTTGGGACCTCTCTTTGTGAGAGTACCTGCGGGTCTTGTGTGGTCAAGAGGCACCTAATGGATTTGACCTTCAAACAGGGTTTCAGCGTCATGTCCCTGCTGGTCCCCATGCTGGCATGGAGGATGCCATCCATAGATATTTGAAGAAGTGTCCAACTCTGAGCAGCAGCCTGAACGCTTTCCATGCAAATGCTCATTATAGTTATTACTCACTGTGACTTTACTGCAAAGGCCCTCGGTGCCTCAGCATAAGGCAGATGTGTTCTCAGAGACAGAAAGGGCAAGCGGGACAAGGTGGGCTGAGGGCAGTGTCATTCCTCTTAACCTGGGAGCTGTGATAGACGAAGCTGTCAAGTCACTTTTCTGCGTAGCCTGTAGCAAGATCAGGAAATGAAGCTGGATTTGCTGAAGCCCAGGGCTTTTTAACCTCCCCATCCTATCTCATAGGAATGTTTCTAGTTAGCCAAACAGATAGACCAAGCAGTAAACTAGACTTAGTTTTTTATTTTTCAAACAATGCTTTGAAATACTTTATTGAGCAGCAAAATTAATTGCATTTGCTCATCTCTGACTCCCTCATACAATACAGAGATTTTTCTCCAGAATCATACTCCTTTCAAAAGGATTTTTTTGTACCATGCTCTGCTTAGCGCATGTCTGGGAAACATGTGCGGCCATTTGATAAATATATTGTGGAAAACACCGTTGAAGTGGCAGTCTGCCTGCAGCGGAGGAATAGCTACAGGGAAAAATGGTAAATGAGATGTGTAAGTAAATTAATTTTGTTCATGTAAGCTTGTTTGCAGCTTTAGTTCCTGTCTGCACCATTATCCTCTGATCTACAGCAAGTGTTGGGGGGGATCGGGCTGGTGACTGCATGAGAAGCATCGGGCCCAAAGCTGCGCAGGACCTTGTAGAACATAGTGGTGGTATCTCTCTCTTGCTGGGATTTCCCATCGCAACAAGGTGTGGTTGTGTTACAGCCTGACAAACTGCATATCCACCATTGATTTTTGCCTTGCAGAAATAAATAATTGCCTTTTGTACTGAGTTTTACACACTGTAAGACTGGCCTGTGCATAACTGATTTGCTTATTCAGAAACCATTGCTTTCCAATACATTTTTGGAGGATTTATCGGTGAAAAGAAATCCTTCAAAACAGCAGAACCTGAAACAAAAGAAAATAATTGTTCATCTGTACAGCTAGGCTTTAAGTCTTACTGGATTTTTTTTTAGAATACTTTTAGCAACGCTGCATTATTTGTTGTGGTGCTGTATAGGTCTATTAGTTTTGACTGGATGAACTGATTTATGGGATTTATCTGAAGTTTATCTATTTAAGTTGTCAATTAGCTGAAGATTTATTTTGCAGCCTGAGCTGTGGGTTAGAGCTGTGCAAGCGTGCTTCTGCTTTTGAGGGGGTGACACCCTGGGGTGCCTGGTCTGGGCAGCGAAAGGCTGTGCAGGGGGCTAACAGGAGCATCGCTGTTTGCTCAGACCTGGCCACTGTTCCCAGCGCTTCTGGCTTTTTTTTCCTGTTGGCTGAACCATGAGAGATGCTGGAGTGTTCAATCCAGGTGGGTGATTCATGGGCTTTCATGGCCAGCTTTGCAGCAACATGGGCAGATCCTTCCCTCAACTCACTCCTGCATGTGGGGAAAACCTCCATAGCAAGAGGAGGGAGGAAGGTGGAAGAGCTGCAGACTTCAGCTGCAGATTGATTTTTCTTCTTGATGCTCCCTAGGAGTGAAGTGAGCTGTGACAGTCCAGAAGCTAAAGCTGCTGCAAGGAAAGACCTTGGGTTTGTTTCTCTGTAACCAGAAGAGCAAAACCTTTAACCCAGAGAGAAATCAGAGTTTTCCTGCTATGCCTGGTGCAAGCTGGATTAAATGGTAAAAGCATTTTTACTCCCTCCCTCCCCTTCATTTAAAATCATTTCCCTGATTGAAGGGAACATGCAGGCTGGCACGCTGGACTGCGAGGAAAGCTGCAGCCCAGCCCCGGCAGCGCAGAGGTGGCTGCTGACAGCGGAGATGTGAACTGGTGCTTCCCTGGCCATGCAGAGCAGCCCTGGGAAGCCGCTGGCCCACAGGCAGGGCTGGAGGCTGGTCTGGGCTTCCCAGGGGCTGAGGCACCCAAAAGCTGAGCTCACAGGCATCCCACGACGAGTTGTTATGAGTGTCTGACTGGGAAATATGCTGCTCCCCTGGCTCTGGAGTGCAAGGAAAGCCTCTTCAGAGATAACAGGGTGGCCGCAGGCTTGCAGTTGCCCTGACCTGATCCTCCTAGGTCAGCTCAGAAGCTCTCCAAGTGCAAACCTTGCAGGAGTATTTTGCAGACAGCAAGCCCTCCGCGGGCTTCCCGCAAAGCCATTTCGAAGGATAGGCAGGGCTGCAGCTGTCTTTCTAGGTTGAAGCCTGGTTTTGGGAGAGCAGGGAAGTCTAGTAGAGGGGAGGCTCGCGCCGTGGGTTTGTGGGACCGCATGCAGTATGTGCTGGACCAAACCCTGCACCCCCTTCCCTTGCTGCTGTGAGCCACCCCCAGTGCCTGCATCCTGGCTCAGAAAGGGATCTATGCTTTGGGATTGAAGGGTTTAAATATAGTTTTAATAGAAGCTCTTAAAGCTGACCTCACCATTTCGTTACTGTTTTGAGTGAGTGATGCTTCTGTCCATTGTTTCAAACAAACCTGCAGAAAAGGCAGGAAAAGGTGGGGAGATTTTACCTGGGTGGAGAAGGAGGGGAGGGAGATGAACAGCAGGCTGCGGGGAGGAATGTGTTAAATTCGGATGTTTCCTTTCTGTGACACCAAGAGCCCCCATGACTAGCTCATGACCTGGGGTGAAGCCTCCCATCCAGATCTTTCTCTGATGTCCTTATTGGTATAAAAGATTGCTGGAGCTTGGCTGCTGCACTTCTGCGGGGGACTTGGGAGGTCGTCTCTCTTTGCAGCAGATTTTAGCTGTAGCCTGTTTAACTGAGCATTGTTGGGTGGCTTTGAGCCAGGCTCAACCTTAGCTCAATGCTCCTCGACAAGGGTGTTGTGTGAGTTCCCAGGTGGATGCTGGATGGGGCTTTTTGAACTCGCTCACCCTTCCTCACGTAAATTAAATGTAGCCAGTGTGAAAACAGGGCAACGCAAGTGTCACCTGAGTTGCAGGGACTTTTATGCACAACCTGCTTTGCATGTAGAGAACCAAAGGTTGCAATATTTCAGAGGTAAGCCTACACGGAAATTCGCTGGATGCAGTCCAGGATGCTGTAACTAAAACTAAGTTCTCCCCCACTGTTGCCAGAAACTGGGCAGAGGGATGAGATGCTGCGTCCTGCAGCACTGCATCTTCAGAGGTGATTAAGGGATGACAGCCGTGTGCTGCAGAGGATCATTTCCTGCTCTGGACTGTGCTGGGAAGACTGAAATCTGTTTTAAATTCAGACTGAAATTAACATCCAGGAAACAGTGATTTTATTCAGCAGTTTTTGCTTTGTATTGCATTTTTGTGTTCTATAGGCCTTTTCCAATGGAAAAACTGATTTCCATGTGCTGCGAATCATTAAGTGTTGTTGATTTACAACTCAATATAGCTTTTATCCATGGTGGGCAGCAAGGTTAACGCGTGCTTGCACGTAGGCTGCAACTGTGGGGGGCCAGAGGCGACCCTGGAACCAGACTTGCTTTTAAATTCTGCCTTTGCTGTTGGCTACGTTGCAAATAACTGAGTGTGGAAGTCGCCAGCCATGGCTTGGCTTCCAGGCTGTTCTGTGACACTTTCTAGGGCCATACAGGGCAACAGAGGGACTGCTGTGGAGCCCTAAATGGCTGTGGGTTTGGTGTTGTGCACATTGGGTTTGGATGCATAACAGAAGCTCAAGAGGTCAAAAGTTTGACCCTTCACCCTCAGCTTGTTAAGAGGCTGTACTTCTCCCTTTATTGTAAGCTGTGGTTGACTGTCGTTCTAGCTACAGAAGGAGAAGTTCTCTTTAGCTGTGTCACTTGTTGCACATCAGATAAAGTCTCATCTTTATCACTTTCATATCTAGCTTGATACTTGGGTTTGCATTTCCTTCTGAGTTTATAGCCTGCCAGTGTTTTGCCTTTACTTTCTTTTACATTGGAAGAAGCTAAAGATGGGTATCTTGGTTATGTTTGTGTTGAGTGAACATTATTATTCAGTTTACCTCTGTTTGTTTCATTTTAGGTATTTCATGGAGAGATTCCTTCAGGCCACATGCTGTCTGTGAGTGCTAGCATCGCAGCTCTCTGCAGGGCCATCTGAGACCATACAAGCTGGACGCAGCGATGGGGGACTCTCCAACAAATGCCATGGATGGAGGCGTAGACACGTGCTGCAAAGACACGCAGACTGAACTGGCAGAGCGGGTAGCAGCCATAGATGTGGCTGTTGGCCCAGACAGAAGTGACCAAAATGGTGACGACAACTCTGAAGAGAATGACACAGTCTTTTCTGATAACATAAAAGACATTCAAAGAAATGGAGTCGACAGTGATGTGGGAGTGAATGAATTTCTGCCTTCCCAACAGTCAGAAGACGCTCACTGGAGACATGTTCCCAAGAGACCTCTCACTAGGCCCGTCCTATCAAGTAGGAAGTTGTCTCTTCAGGAAAGATCATCAGGAGGTTATTTGGCTTCTAGCAACACTCCAGGTTATGGTCCTTATGCCACAGGGCCATCACCACGTATAATGAGGAGACCAACGATAGAGTCCAATCGGGTCTCCATATCAGATTCTGAGGTAGGCATGTTCTCCCCTATAATTGTGGTGTCGAGGTAAGGTAAGTCTTTCTTAACTGGTAATGGGAGTCTTCAGTCTTTTGAAGCAGTACATCTGAAAGCACTGTTTTTTGTAAGGGGAAAAAAAAAAAATCCCTGAAATCAGGGATTGTATTAGCTTAGAATGGCTGAACACCTTTGCATCCATCTCCCAGACAGACCTCTGATGAGTGCAGCCCTGGTCCTGACCTCTGGCTCCTTCAGCCCTCACCTTCCTGGGGTGGTCCCAGTAAGGGGCCAGGACCTCCGCTGTGTAGTGGTAGCATGCAGAAGGCCTGCCAGGCTATTCAGAGAAAGGACTGCGGCCAAATGGCTTTGCTCTTGTGTCCCTGCTGTATGTGCCCCTCGGGAGTTTATCAGTCACAGCAGCTTTGCTGATGATATTTTATGGATTTAAGCTTCTGGAGATTATGTATCTCCTATTGTGTTTTGCCATTATTGAAAGCATGATTTAATTTTATAAAGAGCTTAAATGCACTGGTGTTTCCTGCTCCTGTCAGGATTTTTCTTTGTCTTTAAAGCATTTGTAACAGCAGTGATAACTGAGGGCTGTGACCCTCCTCTCCTTCAGAGGAGCATCTCTGGGTGACTGCAGTTGTTCCTGCCATCTGTCTTGCAGCTGCTCTCCCGGTACCAGTGCTGGGCTCAGACCTGTCCCAGAGGTGTAACATGCTTTTAGTCACGAAGTGTCTTGGTGGAAGCGGCTGCTGGTTGCAGTTCCCTGTGCTGTGATGTGCCATCATGGGGAGGGTGGGGAGCAGAGAGAGGAGCTGTTTGGACCATGCTGCCCAGTGTCGTGCTGAAGATGTTGAGCCTGCAGCAATGCCCATGAAGGGGCATGCAACTGGGTTTTCTTTGAAAGCCAGGCATGATGGATGTGGTGTAAAATGGGTGTTTCTTGAAGCCAAAATGTTTTGTACAGTGCTACTGGCTGGAGAGGGTTTTTAAGTAGAGAATGGGCTGCCTGGAGTGTACTGGAGAGGGAACATCATCAGAAAAAACACGGGCTCACACCTGAATTATCCCCCAAGCCCAGGCTGTGCCTTTTCCTGAGATTTTTATCTGCTGTTTGTGGAGGAAAAACAAGTTTTTCATGCCTTGCCATTTTTCTCCAGACTGAATTTGTTCCCCAGTCATATTTGTCTTGTGTTTTTGCTCTTGGGGAAGGGGGCAGGGCAGAAGCAGGAGTGGGAGATGTCTGTGGGTGCCACAACTCCGCAGGCTTGCTCAGCGGTGCCGTAACAGAGAGGAGGCAGCATGCTGGGGAGAGGAGCAGTGGTGGCATCGACCTGCTGGCCTTGCCCTGCAGGGACGGCTGCTCCTCCTGCCCTGATGCCGCAGGTGAGCTCAGGGGAAGCCTCTGGTTCATCTTGTGACCATAAGCCTTGTTGTGGTGAGAGATGGGCCCTTTCCATGAGTGTTTTCAATCTCTCTTTCTTCTAGAACTGGCAGTACAGCAATGGTCGCCCATGAATTCACCTCTGCTGCTGTGCCCAGGCACTGAAGCGGGACAGACACAGCAGCCAGGGGCTCAGGAGCAGTTACAGTCCGACTCTTTCTCATCTAGTTGATAGAGAACATGTTTGTTGAACGTGACTCTGCTGGTGCCGCTGCGCCAACACGTTGCTCTTGGGCACCGTGGTACTCCCAAACATGATGCCTTAATCCCACCGTGGTCCTGCTCTGTGTCCTAAGGGACCCAAATCACTGGAGTTTAGTGTTTTGCCAATGTGGGTCCAAGTGACCTGGAGCTTAACATCTGTGAGGCTTAGTGTTTCTGTCCTGAAAAGGGGATGTTTTCCCCTTGCACATCTGAGAGGATGTGTGCTGTGCATGTGCAAATTGGCCGTTGTCCTCTGGGAAGTTTTGCAAGTCACGTTAGCTGTGAGATGGGTTGTGGCATCACCAGCCGATAAGAGGATATCTGCAGAAGGTGCACTGCAGAGACTGCGGCTTTGATGGCAGCCATATGCTTTAATAAGGGAGACGGGGAGGGAGAGGAGCCAGTTCTTGGAAGCGGATGTGACTTGTGTGCCAGCTGTCCCATCCTGCAGTACTTCGACTGTGCCAGGAGTGAGGCTTGTCTGAAATCTGTTTCAAAGTAACTGCAGTCGAGTGCGACTAGCACATTCCCATCTGCAAGCAAATTCAAAATACTCTGTCCTCTTCTACAGCATCTGCATCCTGGGGAGCAATAGTTACTGCATTGGGGTAGGAAATGCTTAGTTTGAAATGCAGATGCAGAGTCCTTCATTTCCCTGCTCCTGCAGCAATTCTTGATGCAGCATGGTGTTTTTGGTCACTTTGATATAACTATTTAGAGACCTGCTCCAGTGCAGCACAGATGCTTAACAAAGCTGTGCTCATTGGAAACCATCATTCATATTAATGGGGCATCACTGCGGTAGGAGGGGGAAGGGAGCCCAGGCCAGAGCTGTGCACATTCAGAGGTGGGTGTTCGCCCTCGCAGCCGTGCTCTCGGGAGCTGTGCTTCATCTTCCCAGCTTATAGGGACAGTATCTCTATCCTGTATGGAATAGCAAAAGGACTAGGAAGGTGCCTGCTTGTTTATAGGATAAAGTTTGAGACTGGCCACTGAATAATGAGAAAAGTTTTAGTGTGTGACAGCAAGGTGAGTGTGCAGCCTGTGCACAGCCCAACGCCAGCATCCTGCGTATGACCTACCAGTTGCTGCTAAGTGGTTGTTGCAGGGTCATTGTGTTCATGGATGTGAGAGGCACTGACGGTCCAAATCCGAGCTATACAGCTAACTGAGATACAGCAGGTAACTCAGAAGAGAAACGGAGAGCAGATCTTCTGCTGTTACAGCAAACGTACTGAGCAAATGCATGTAAGCAATTAGCAGAGCCTTGCATGTGGGCAGGGAAGACTGAGCAGAGCCAGGAGGTAAGGGCAGGGCTTCTAAGAGTTATGGTGGACTCGGTGTTGAGGCTTTTGGTCCTGTGGGTGATAAAATAACCCTGTGATGAGAAATACAATCATGATGTACTTAGAAGCAGCTGCTGTTGTGTTTTCTGTTGATCATTTTGAGATGCAGACCCTCAGTGAGCAGGGAGGCTGGGTAGGTCACTCTGACAGGATCCAGCTCACCAGTCACGGCATTGCCCCTGGTCTCCCTGCAAATGACTCTTTGACACATCTTGTTCTAGGCCAGCTGCATGTTTGTACTCGAGTTCATGTCTCTCACCTGCTTAAAGCCATTTTAGAGTTAACCTCTTTCCTCTTGCATTGAGTATCTGGCACCATCTTTCATGTGGTAGGACATCCATCACTCTGGCTCGTGGCTGCTGCCCGAATGAGTTACAGTCTGTGCAGAAATGAAGATGAAGTTCATGAGCATTTGGGCTTTCAGTGGCACACATGCAGGTGTAGTCTGTCAGGAGCAGAGATGGATGGCACAGCTGCATATCAAAATTTCCTGTTTTATTCTGATAGTCATCTAGAATTGAATATGCTTTCCCTCTCCAGTGACAGCAGGAGTGGCAGCTCACTACCTTGCTGTCAACGGTTCTGTATCCTTGACTGATCTGGAGAAATAATGGAGAGATGTGTTATGGGGATATGGAATATGAGGATATGGCAGAGGTGAATTTTCTGTTGTTCTCTGCTGAATTATGGAAGAATCGTGTGTTCAGTTAGAGACACACTGCTGAGCTTTTTAATGCTGGTTTAGTACTCTTCACAGACTGGGAGGAAAACTTATATTCAGGGATCCAAGGGCCAAGAGCTGAAGTTGAGGCTGTGACACTGCAGGAGGATTCACCTGGTGCTACGAGCAAGCAGTGAATCGGGTTGTCCCATCCCCGGGACCTGTACTGCACACGTCTGCCTCCAGAGCGGGGTTTCCTGGGTTTGTTGTTTAGGAAGATGGTGGCTCCTGGGCTGGTGGGGCTGCAGCAAGGGTGAGGCTTGTTGCTTTGCACAGAGGCAGTTCCTGATCAACCGAGCAGAGCCACCAATTAGCTAATTGCCATGGGACAAAGAGTTGGCAGCTCCTGCTCTCTTGCAGCCGCTGCTGACAAGTCTGGATCTGCAGCATTAACTCTGCAAGAGAAGTAACTCATTCTGCTCTCCTGACAGCATTACTGTGTACTTGATTAACCTGATCTGTCATAACTCTATCAAAATTGATCTGTAATTTTAAAAATGTCCTGCTTGTTTCCCTCCTTTCTTAGGTTATTCATGGACTATGGCCTGGAAGGTCCTTTCAGCACTGCCTTCTCTGGTAGGAGTGCCCGCTAGGCTGGTGGGATTTCTGCTGCCTTTGCTGCCCATCGGTGCTCTGCTCTAACAAGGGAATGGCTTTGCCTTTAGCTGTGGCACAGAAGTGATTAAGCTGAAGCTACTAAGGATACATAACTCTGCAGAGCTGAGGCACAGGCCCCAGAGTTTGGGTCACTGGCTCACGTTGCCTCTGATGTGACATTCCCAGCTCCTGCTCGGTGCTGGCAGCATGGTGAGACGAGAGGCTTTTCCTGGGGCTGCGAAAAGCAGTTTCTGCTTTGCTGCACAGATGATGCTCTGGTGCTTCTATGTACCAGGGCAAGACTCTCCGTAAACATGTTTGTACAGACTGATGACCATCTTGTCACCATGTTTGAGAGAGCTTGTCCCACCTAAAATGACAGAGCTTGTATCTGTGAAAGGGTAGAGGTGCTGCTTGTTGGAAAGTGGCATTTGAAAATGCAATGCTGTTTGGTTTTTTTTCCTTCTGCCATCCCAAACCAACTTTTCTAGGTAGCCAAGAAAAGTCTTACTTGGAGAGTGGCTAGAAGAAGAAGAAAAGATATCTTTTTCCAGGCTTTCTCCCCAGACCTGCCAACACAGTTAATTGCTTTATGCTTTCTCTTCTCCAGTCTCTTCTGGCTGAATCGTCCTTTCTCTTTCACATGTTCCCTTTCTCTCCTTGCATCCACCCACTCCCTGGCATCCCGGTGCTTC